TCTTCCTCAGGGTCTGAGGAGATGTTTTTCTATAGAAAAATGTCTTCCTCAGGGTCTGAGGAGATGTTTTTCTATAGAAAAATGTCTTCCTCAGGGTCTGAGGAGATGTTTTTCTATAGAAAAATGTCCTCCTCAGGGTCTGAGGAGATGTTTTTCTATAGAAAAATGTCTTCCTCAGGGTCTGAGGAGATGTTTTTCTATAGAAAAATGTCTTCCTCAGGGTCTGAGGAGATGTTTTTCTATAGAAAAATGTCTTCCTCAGGGTCTGAGGAGATGTTTCTCCTTGGCCCCTTTTTTACAGTTCGATCGGATTGACTAAATTATGGCATATTGTATAAAATTAAGCTTATCTCATTTATTTTGGAGAGAAGAGCCCCCAATTCCATGTTGTTAAGATATTCACGTATCGTCCCATATGTAAATTATGTCCCTTTTTTTTTTGGTCGACATGATAAAATGACCACAACCAAAATTCTGTTGTTGGTTTTTATAATTTTTGTAAATAACTGTTTTAAATTGTTTGCTGTTGGACATGGTCGTACTACAACAAATGCAACAACGCCCATTCATGAACATCCTTTTTGGTCCTTGTGTTTTTTCGGCTAACTGGCTAGCAGCTACGTTTGGCTCATCTAAGCGGAAAGGACGCGACAAAAAATTAAAAAAAAATCTTGTTCTCAATGGATTAGTGAAGTGAAGGGGCATAAGGGAGTGCATATGATAACTGTGCGCTATCTTGAAAAATATATAATTTTTAGAATTTTCATATTTAAAAAGGAGATACTTATAATTTTAAATTTATTCCTTTAAAAAATAAGAGTGTAAGATTTCCTAATAGATCGCCATAGACACTTCCACAGCAATTGTTTTTAATATGTAACTGATAAGTGCAGTTATCTCAATTATAGCAAACAACGGTCACCCCGCGATGACCATTTTTTACATTCCTTCAAAAAAAATTGTTACAAAAAAATCCTTTCCCATAAATTGTCAAAACTTAACCATAAACTGTCTACCTTTTCGACCAACAACGACCCACAATATTATTCGTTTGGCTCTGTGCTACACAGTTTGAAAAAAAGAAACGTGTTATTGGATTCTGCGAACGAAACATGTCATCCGGTCTGAATGAATGCACTGCTCTCCGACGTGTGCCGGCGGTTTGGCTTCCTTGGCAAAATTATTTAAATCAACCTGACAACAACAAAATGACAACCGGTAAAATAACGACCATAACTCTAACCATGAAAAAGGTAAACAGGACGCAATAGTGGGTAACTTAGTTTGCTGCTATGCGTTGGGACAGTTGATGGCGAAAACATCACCATCACCGCCACCACCAGCGTAGCCGCCAACATGAAAATTAAATTGCAAATCTTTTTATGGAGTTGCAAACAGAGGCAACCCTTTGTGCAAACTGCCATATATTATGTATATGTATATGTGTGTGTTGTTTTCATACAAGCATGCAATATCAAGTACCGGAAAAAGGAAATAGAGTGGTTTTACTGGCAATATGCACAATCCTTTTTTTTTGGCAGACCGAAAAAATAAGACTAATTTTTGATAATATTTACATATGGATAAAGTAAATGTCTACAAAGGACAAACACGGAATGTCCTTCTCACACTTTTAGGTGAAATTGTTGCTTTTTTACGCAAAGTAAAATTTGAATTGTAAATTTCTGAATTTCAAATGAAATCTCATGCCGGTTTGAATTTGAAGCGGTACGTGAAATTTAAACAAACCACCTAAATAATATTTTTCAAAATGATTGAATCCATTGAAATTCCAAAAAGTGCAAGAACTTACACCGCAACAGAAAGAAAATAAACTCAAAAAAGGTAAAGTGTTGCTTCGCTTGGCCGAAAGTGGTAAACTGCCGAATTTGGTTTTATCGGATGAGAAAACATTCGTTGTCCAGTAGTTTGTAAACAAACAAAATGATCGTGTTTACTTGCCAAAGAGGTCAGCTGAAAATGTACACCTTCGGTTGGCCACTAGAAGTCAAGCGCCGGACATGGTGATGGTGTGGGCTGCCGTAACACCTGATGCTCGCTTTCCGCTCGTATCGTGGCATCGTTTTGACCTTGGACATTCCAAAAAGGACTCAGCACTTCGGAAATGGGCCAAAATACCGCAGAACGACATTCGGGCAGCATGTGAATGTTTCATTGGCCGTTTGAAGGCCATAATTCGTGCCAAAGGTGACCAATTCGAACATTTCTAAACTTATTTTAAAATTTAATGATATTTCCGAAATTTTTTGCTTTCGTTAAATATAAATAAAAAACAATTAAAAATTATGGCGTTTGACTTTGTAGTGGTTTTTTATTTCACCCGAAAAAAATACTTAAAATATACTTGGATTTTGCCTGGAAGACATTTTAAAACTGCTCTTTAAAAAAATCCAAGATTTATATAGCAATGCAGCCAGTAAATATTACTTTTAGAAATCCATGCTTTTTAACAGAAATTCCATAGATATTCTAAAAAGTGCACGATTGGCACTAAGGACGCCTTAAAACAATCTTCTTTACAAAATTAATTTCATTTAAATCCCAGGAATTATATGAATTCCTTAAAACATTTTTTTTTTTTTGTTTTTTGTAAAAACTTACCAATTTTGTCCAAAATTATTTTCCTAACAAATTCATAATTTTGATAAATATTTTAAAAATCCACTTTTTTCTTGGCCACGAATTACTTGAAAAATGTCCTTAAAAATTTTAGAACATGCCGAAAAAACAGCCCGAATTTCCAAAAAAAAATCCATCAAAAATACCTCTCAATTTATAGCGGCTTTAATTTTTAATTATTACGAACTTTAGATACGAAATTTAAAACTATTCAGGTAAAAAATTGGTAATATCATCAACATACCAAATAAAAGAAGGTTACGTCGTATGTGGACTACATAGGCAATTTTCCGTCATAGGTTGTAGTACCTATTACGAGCTTCAAATACTTACTTTGAATAATATCCCTACCGTATGAGGAGTATACGATATCGTGGGCCTATATAAAAAATTCTCCTCCAAGGGGAAAAGGAGAAGGAACTCCTTGTGTTAATTCTCAGACAATTACATTGAAACATTTGGCTACAATCATCAAAATACCGACTATCAGGTGGTACCGTTATATGGAGGTTATGCGATATTGTAGACACTCGTATATAGACAATTCTCTTTCATTGTATAAAATATTTACAAAGAACTCCCTGTGTAGAATTTCACACAATTCCATTGAAAAATGTGACTAAAATCATTAAAATACCGAATATCGGGGGTTACCGTTTTATGGGGGTTATACGATATCGTGGACCAATATAGTTCATCTTCGAACTTGAACTGCCTATAGACAAAAGACTGATCTGTGCAAAAATTTCAACAGACGGACAGACTTATTTGGAGAGATATGCTCCGATTCAGAACGTTCAAGAATATACTACTTGTTATCCTTTTGCAAATTTTTACTATGAAATGGTCCCGAAGGACGTCCTCTTTGAAAACATATTTTTAGAATATTTTAAAAAAACATTATTTTCATTTTTCGAAATTTTCATGAAAACGATTACTGCTTTTAGCAGATGTGCCTAAAAGTATGCTACGTTATTTGTTTTAATCGTATTAAGAAGCATTGCAACAACTAAGATAAATAAAAACAAAGACCTAAAATTGTAGAGTAGACAAAATGTATTATGGAAAAATAGTGTGAAAAATATGTAAAAGCGCTGCCCGCTGCAGAGGAATGTTAGCATAGAAAAAACACAATTACAGAGCAGTTTTACGAATATAATTTTTTGTAATCCAAAAAAATTGGGCTCAAAATTGTATTCTATTGACGTTTTGAATTAATTAAAAATTAAATTTGCTGTTATATCCACTTAATATTTTTGATTATGATGTCATGATATCGTAACAACAGAGGTAAATCCCCCTGATGCGAAAATTTGGACTCCGACTTGTCCTATCTTTATATTTCCATGTCATTGATAAAAATGTCAAAAATGTTACGAGATTCATATTAAATGGAATATGTAATCGACGTAATAAAAAAAGGGTTCATATAGCTTACACCACTATGTGTGCATGGAAATTTGCTTTTGTTGTCTTTTACTGATTTAACATAATTAATCAATAGTGTAACATCTATTGTTCCCCTTGTCTGTTTGTCTCATATACCCCCACGTTTTTTGTTGTTATATGATTCATTGGAGTGTAGTTAAAATATTTTTATTTTATTATTTAAAAGAACAAAACTAAAAAATGTTGTTTTTAATATTTTCAAAACTCAAATTTTTAGAGATGACGCTTCAGTGTTTTGCTCAAATTTAGTCTACTTCCTAACAAAAACTTAATACTGTTAAAAGCGTTGGACGTACCATTCATTTTTCGCTATATTGCTTTTTACTTTTTGATAATATTGTTAAATTTATAAATATGAAGTTATTTTGCATTATTGACCATAATGATGTCTGAAAAATAGGAACAAAAGATTTCTAATTATTTATTGTTTTATACTATTTAGCTATTTTTTATGATATTCGCTTTTCGTGTTTTTATTTAATTAATTAATACTCTGATTTATTTTCGCTATAAATTTATTTTTATTTTTAATTCCTTCTTAATGTATAATTATTTTTATATATTTTGTAAAGTAGAAATACTTTGTTATTGTGTTAATTTATAAATATAAAGTTTAGTTAAAAATTTATGTTATTAAGTTACTCAAATATTTTTTAATTATTAAATCATTTTTGTTGACAATTTTATTTCAGTAAATAAATTCAGATAATGAATTCTCTGTCCCTAACAAAACATGCAATTTTTTGCTTTAATTTCTCTCTGTGTGGCCATTTTGTGGCGCATTTAAACAACCCTGCTTTTCAACCGGCAAATGACATTCTCTTTGTATGTGTGCTCTCTGTGTTTTTCTCTTATCCACTCTCAAATACACTGAGTTTATCTCTCTTCATTTACCATATGTTTGACAGTCGTGCAACAAATGTCATTCAGTTGTTATTTTGCCAAACAAAACAAAGGAAGAATGAAGTGAAAAGTTAAGAAATAAGAAAACATCAAAATATTAACAAAATTATTGCATAAATTTTCGCTTAACGTTGAAGGAATTAAAGAAAGTTATTGTTAAAATATTTCGGTGTTGCTATTTCGTCGAATGAGTGCTTTGTTGGTGTTTTGCTGACCAATCAAAAAGTGTGCTTTTGTGTTTCGCATTGTTTGTTTTTTTTTTGCGGTCGTTTGCTTCAAAATTTTTGTTGATTTGTTTGTAACATTCGCTGTGGACGCTACTCTAAACAAAAATATTAAAAAAGACTAAAAATATTGACGCGGTAGCTATGAACGCCAAGGATATTTTAATAAAAGCTGTCCAGTGTGACAAAGATGGTCGCATTCTGGAGGCCCAAGATCTCTACCAAGATGGTATACAAATTCTAATGGAAGTTGTTGGTGGTAGGTTAAATTCGCTTCCAGAGTGTGATTTGTTTATATTGTTATGAGACCAAATATGTTACTTCTCGTTAGATGAAAAGGACTCGAACAAAAAGAAGGTCTACTTGGAACGCATTAAAGAATATATCGACCGGGCTGAACAGATAAAACTGCGAGTTCAACGTCATATGGAAAGTGGTGAGATTGTTGCCAACATTCCCATCGATGAGAATTCAACAGGTCACAGCTATAAAAGTCTTTTCGGGAAATATATGAACGCCGATGTAAAGGAGATTTTAATAGATGAGCCATATATTGCGGAGAGATATCAGGTAAGATAGAATGAAATTATTGGAATCATTTTTTTAGCAAAACATGTCAGAACATTTTACCAAAAGTTAAGAGTTTTATTCTGATTTAAATAGTGTATTTTTAAAATGCGATTTTAACAAAAATATCGAACATGAATTCGGAAAAGAGCCATTGTGGGAGGATCTTACATTAAGTGTCAAAGTTTGTACTTGGGACAAAGAACATTTATTGTAAAATAAGCACCATCTTGGAAATGAAAAGAGTGTTAGCTATCTATGACATCTATTTCTTCGCGCCAAATTGGGAACCTTTTTTTTTCGACTTTTGATTATTTTTTTAGTTCTGTCAAAATACCCCTCCTGTCTTTGTAACGCCAAAACAATTAATAAACTCTAATATGACTTTTTGTGAATATGAAATACCCTACTGTACACCATATTTTATAGAAGCAAATATATTTTGAATTTTGTCCCAAAACTTTAAAGGTTTTATCTCAAAAACGCGCATTTCGGTAAAAATGTATAATATCGGTATAATTATAATGAATGTTTCTATATATAGCAAGAATAAAAAATCAGTAAAGTCCCCAAAAAATTTGAAGTCAATTCTGCATAGCAAAATCACTTTTTATTTTGTTTTTATCGCTGGCAGAGAGATAGCAAAATTAACAACGCTTATCTGTGTTAAAAGCAAAAGTTTTCAAAAGCATAACCACTCAGGGCTACTGAACTATAAAAAAGATGTCAAAAATGCGCAATTGGTGTTCAGAAAGATCAATAAGCAATGGCAATAAAGACCAACAACCCGAGAATGGTAGTTCCTAGCGTTATGACGTCACATTCAGTGAAACTAGGCGGTAACCCCAAAAAGACAGATTTTATCGAAGGTTAGGATTTATGAACTTTTGGGAAAACGAAAGCAAAGAAAATAAACGAGGTATATATTTTTAAGTCTTCGATTTGGAACTGATTTACTTGGAGTAACTGGATTGGTCGCAAAGAGCTGAATAATGTGTGGAATGACCTAAGATTCTAGGGGTCATATTCGACAGCATGTTCAAATCGTCCGCGCAAGCCACAGCTATCTGCGAAAGATGAAAAGTAGGGACAAGGTCTCCCAGGCGCCTGCCGGCAGCACTTGGGTTGCGGACAAGGAAACCTTGTTGGCCTCTTATAACGCTACACAGTGAAAGCACATCCAGACCTGCCTGAATGCAGTATCTGCTTGGGTGTTACCGTGAGGGTCATCCCAGCCGTCAACAATTCCCCCACCCAGGCATGTCAGGAAGGACATACACGATCTAGAGAGGGAGGTCCAACGCTATAAGAGAGAACCTCTAGATCAAGAGGCAGGTCTGAGTGGCATTCATGGCGATTCAGTCGCAGATGCTATCAACAATTGCAGGATGAATGCTGTTCTCGAAGTCATCCCCCCGTCCATTGCAGCTGAAGAACGCCAGCTGCCTAGTCTAACCAGGGTAGTTTTTGGCGCCATTACGTTCAGAATGGTGCAGTCGTCTCAATTCGTATTAGGCACGAATTGACAAAGATGTGCATAAAGTCTGCCCGGATTGTGATACAGGCCCGCACAGTACGCTGCACCTTTTTAATTGCACAACCAAACCTACCCAACTCACCCCAGAAGATCACTGGTCACAGCCCGTTAAATTGGACGAATTTTTCAACCTTGAGCTTGAACTAGATTAGGATTAACAAGCATCCATATGTACAATAACAACAAATAAATTAGCTTTTCGCGAATCTAGTAAATCGACTTGTTTGTTGTTGTATTTAATTTATTTTGTTTTGAATTTAAAAATGTTATTTAGAGCTACCTGATAATTTCCTTGATCTTGAGGCTCTATCTTGTAGCGTTGGATCTCCCTCCCTAGATAATGTATGTCACACGGATCATGTGTGCCTGACACGGTTGGTTGCAGGTTTCAGTTTTATTCACCAAAACAATATATATTTGGATTACCCATTATAACATCCAAACAGGTACTGCAACGGAGGCATGTGGTTATGCCGACGTATGGAAAGAACCACTGTCCGGGTTTACCATGATATTTGGTATTTTAGGGTTTTGGCCAATTGCTTCATGAAGATAACACTCGATATAAGTGATTTTAAAGGTCTTAGCTACATTATTTTAACGAATATGGGATTCAGGATTCTCTGCTTGTAGCATAAAAATCTGCCAAGGACTTTAACTTCTGCTCAAAATCTTTCACTTCCTTCCCCAACTTTTACTGCCATATAAATGAACACAGTTTATAAATTAATTATAAAAATTAAAAAAAAATATTTCTTTATATTATTTCTTTTACTTTTTTAGTTCCAAAATTTCGTTGTTTTATTAGAACTGGCAGCTAAGCAGTGCAAAAATCTGAAATATGTAAGACTGGTTACCAAACCCGATCCCAAAAATACAGCCGAACAGAATTCAATATTGAATTTGATTAAAACCGATTTGCAAGGAAGGAATATTACACTGTCCATAAAATACGAGACAACATTGCATGATCGTAAAATTATGTAAGTTTCTTTTTTCAGAGGGAGCTACTTTTTATAATTAATACATTTTTATTTATTTATTTTTTCAGTTTAAGTAATGGTTACATAATCAAAATTGGACGTGGTCTGCACTTCTTTAAGGCAACCAATCCGCGTTACTCATTGGGACTGTGCGATTACGATTTTCGTAATTGTCTGCAAACGGATGTGGATATATGTCGCACTAAAACATTTTCGTAATGTTGACTTATTCTTTTTTTATAAGTTTAAGTATGTTTTATAAGAAATTAAGAATTCTATTTGATATGGTTGCGATGATGTTTATAAGGTAATAATTATGTTCCATCCGATTAAAATTGCTAAAGTATTACGTTTTATAAACAAACAAAAAAATATTTTTTTTATAAAAAAAAAATGTGTAGAAGTTATTTGGAGTTGGAAATTGAAGGTAAGTGTCACACATACCAAACACAATTAGCGCATACTTAAGAACATTTCCCAGATTCAGATATGATGGACATTTTTTTTAATTTGTATTAATGTGAGTATAAAACCCATATTATAATTGTTTTATCGGTTATTGGCCAATTGCTGTTTTCATTTGCGATAATTTGAAATATCCATTAAAAAGGTGAAAGAGGAAATCCTGTCAACAACCAGCCATGCTCCTCTTACCAATTTTGTAAAGTGATTACGTTATTTTTCTTTTTGTTTACAGCAATTTTCCAAATAACACAATAGTTTGTTTTTATTTTTTTGCCCACTACCCATGTACATACATTCATACAATCACTTCCATTACCATTTGTATTTATTTTTATTGATAGTTGCTCTGTTTTCGTCCTGGAGTGCTACATTATTTTAACAACAATTGTGCTGACATTTTCATATTTTATTATTTGTATTTTCAGTTTTTGCTTTCGCTTTAATGGATGATGGGTACGAGTGATGTGGATTCGTGTTTGCTGTTTGTGTATATATATTTGTGCGTGTACGAACGTATTTTAAAACGCTAAAAACTTACTATCCTCCGTAAAAACGCATACAATTATTTGGCTCCTTTGTGTGTGTTTTCAAAATTGTCCTCAACGAAAGTTGTAAGTGTCCCTATCGGAGACATTAATTGATGACTGCTCAAGTCATCAACATTCATCAGTCTGTTCCGGTTTTCCGAGTGCTAATGTTTATTTATATATTTTGCAGACACTCAGTCATATTGCTACAGAGGGTATATGTCATTTAATATGGCTATAATGTGCCTCATCGAAAAAAAAACTGTCTTAGGTCCTAGGTTTCTTTGGACGAAATTCGTTTTAGGACATTTGGAGTCGATCTATTGGTATTGTATGTTAACTCTCTACGGGAGTATCCGACGTCATCGAAACTTAGTACATCGTAATACTGGGTGAGATGAAAAACTGCAACCAAATTCAGACTGCTGTCATTTTTAAGGCACTCGTCCGACAGCTTTTAAAATTATTCCAGTGACAGCCTATTATATTGTTCACAAGGGTACAAAAGCATTTTGGTGAGAATTTTAAAGAAGAAAATTATTCGTGATGGAATTCAAGCGTGATAGTGTGATTTCTTTATATTTGGCTAGAAAACCAGAAGTGGCTATCGTAGGAGCACTCCAGCATTTAAATGTGAATAAATCGTTTGTGTCTCGTACCATCGCTCGTTACCGTGATACTGGTAGCGTAGCCCGATGTCAAGGAAGTGGACGGAAGAAAACAGCAACATTAGCAGAAATGGTTCGAAAAGTAAGGAAGCGACTTGATCGAAACCCTCAATATTTGCCATTGAAATTACAAAAAGTGCAAGAACTTATACCGCAACATAAAGAAAATAGACTGAAAAGAGTTAAAGAGTCGCTTGGCCGAAAGTGGTGAACTGCCGAATTTAGTTTTCTCCGTCTCCGATGAGAAAACATTCGTTGTTCAGCAGTTTGTAAACAAACAAAATAATCGTGTTTACTTGCCAAAGAGGTCAGCTGAAATGTGCACCTTCGGTTGGCCACTAGAACTCAAACGCCGGCCATGGTGATGGCGTGGGCCGCCATAACAGCCAATGATCTCTCTCCGCTCGTATTAATCCATCAGAATAAATGGCGAAAATTATCACGAAAAAATTATGGAGGATGTATTAAAGCCTTGGACACGCAAACATTTTGGCCGCAGACCTTGGACATTCCAACAGGACTCAGCACCATCGGACTCAGCACGCGCCACCCAAAAATGGTTACAAAATGAGGTTCCTCGCTCCATTTCTAGCTCACAATGGCCACCAATATCTCCGGATACCAATCCGTTAGACTATTGTGTCTGGAGTCTTTTGGAAAGCAAGCAAGCAATGTCGATCACCTAAAGCAAGCGTTTCGCCGTGAATGGGCCAAAATACCGCAGAGCATCATTCGGGCATCGTGCGACACCACGAAATACACATTTTAGACCCCACAAAGTACATATATTCTTAATCAGCATAAAATTTTATGTCGATTTAGGATGTCCGTCCGTCTGTTGAAATCACTCTAGCTTTCGAGCGAATTGAAGTAGATTGATAAAATTTTACTCAAATGTATCTTATGTCTGCAGGACTTTTGGTATTGAAAATGGGCAGCCCTGATATAACGGTACCTCCCGATATTCGGTATTTTGATGATATTAGCGAAATTTTTCACCGGAATTGTTTCAAATTTGGTATTTTAAGTTCGTAGTGGATACTACAGCCTATGACAGAAAATTGTCTATGCAGGTCCACGTCTTCGTATAGCCCCCATATGACCTCCATATCTTCGGTATTTTGTTGATTTGAGCGATATTATTCACCGGAATTATTTCATATTTCGTGTTTGAATTTCCTAATAGGTACTACAGTCTATGACAGAAAATCGTCTATGCAGTCTTCGTATAGCCCCTAAATATCGGTACTTCCCGATATTCGGTATTTTGACGATTTTAGCGACGTTATTCACCGGGATTGTTTCAAATTTGGTATTTTAAGTTCGTAATGGATACTACAGCCTATGACTGAAAATCGTCTGTTTAGGTCCACGTTTTGGTACCTTCCTATATTCGGTGTTTTGATGATTTTTAGCTACATTATTCAACGATTTTTTCAAGTTTCGCATTTGAATATTGTAATGGCCTAAGACAAAAGTTGGGTATGCAGGTCCACGTCGTCGTATAGACCCTAAGAAACGGCTACATTCTGTATTTTTAAGATTTTCACAGAATTTTTAACGGATTTTATCTTTTTTTTGAAAATTTTCAAATTCGTTCCAAATGGTGGAGGGTATTGTTGTTGTAGCAGTAGTACATGCAAATGTTTGCGTTTTGCTAATCTGGTTCCAGCTCCAGTTTTAGAAATTCGGCTACTTGAATGGGCTGTAGCCAGGGATCTTCTGGAGTGAGTTGGGTAGGTTTGGCTGTGCAATTAAAGAGGTGGTGGCCGGTATTCAAAGTTCTGGGTGTTTTTCAAAGATTTGGGTGTGTTTTATTTTATTGTTTCCCAATATCTCTTAAAAATTGCTGCGAGTATATTTCTGTTGGAAAACCAACTGATGCTTTTTACCTTTTTTTATTTGGTTTTGACAGTTTTTCAACACTTTAAGGACCCTTTGATGTAAAAAATAATAGTATTTTACTTATTATTGTTGGTTTGCCTCATCAAATCATCATCCTAGCTAAAATGAGTGGTGGCCTTTTGTTATGATCCAAATAAGCAAATGGCATATAACTGTATACTATGCAGCTGCCATTGGTAAATGGTCCATTCAGAGAAAAAACATTTTGCTTGGTTTTGCTGTCATCCATCCATCTTTTCAGCATTTATCCCGACTGTCCGTTTTGTTTGTCAGTCAACATTTATTGCACTTGATGAGGTCATAATTTATAATCGGCTGAGTTTTATTGCATGTTAGGATGATTGTCTTTTGGACAATTAACAATAATTTTGGTAGAAGAGGAGGACGTATCTCGTTTAAGTGGTGTGTCGCCTCAAATTTTAGAATTTTACGATGGCCACTAACCGTAAATGGTTGATTGTTATTTTCGTCATTTTTCGGTTGGTTGTTTATTGTACGAAAAAAGGCAAATTGTTGCATTTAATTGCAAATTTTTATTAAATGGGGGTTAAGGAGTAACTCCATCGCCAGGCTCGTTAAAGAAATATAAAAAAGGGAAGGCAACATCCACACTTGAACTCAATAATGGGAAAAGTGAGGGTAGATCGACAAATTCCTAGTGTTTTTTAAATAGGAAAGTGGTGACAGTATCAAGGGATAAAACTAATTTTCCCTTGTTTTTTAAAAAATTCCTGAATACACTACCTCTAAGCATATGTAAGTATTAAATATCACAAAAGCATGCCAGAGCCGGATTTGCCACATTTAAACATTACTTTTATCCCTCCTCCAAGAGCCAACAAAAAAAAACCAAGCATTTGGTTCTAAAACAAGAAGAGAGAATGAAATCCTTGATACCACAAAATAAATGTGTTATTTAAAGTTGCAAAACTTATATCTCCACCTGCAGTTGCATAAATTGTACCTGCATATTTTTGCAGTCTTTGTCCTCCAGCCACCTCCACCTTCAGCATCGCCGAACCACGTAACCTCTGCTACATACCGAAAAAAGGACATCCAAATGTCCTTAAAAACACAACTTATGGCCATTTAAAGTTTGTCCTCACTCTCACACCCACACTCACTCACACACACACACACTATTCTTTGGTAGTTTTCCTATTGTGGCATGCATTATTCGCATCGAATTCAAACCAGGTTCCAGCTATCAGCTTGGAGTGCACCTTCAACACAATATATTCGAGTGTCTAGTGGTGATACTTGTGCGGTTCAAGTGGCGGACACCATAAAAAACCCTAGATTGTGGCATAGATGTTTTTATTGTTGCTGCAACATTTCATGTTGGAACTTTGAAATGCAATGCGTTTCAATATGTATTTGATATGGCAGCGCACACCACCTAAATACCTTCACCCACAGCCTTAGTAAATACTCTGCCCGGCCTTGTCAGGGGCCAGAGAAAAGGGGTTCCGACTGCATTTGAAAAGTGTATCATGTGACATTTGAAAAGCGGACAATTTTCATGGTGGCATAGATGGAACACCTCCAAATACGAAGTGATGCTGCTGATGCTGTTGCCATACTTGAGGGCCACTCGACAATTTTTCGGTTGAGGTGATGCTCATTATTGCTGTTGGCGGCCAGAGTACCAGCCAACCAACCAGCCAATGTTTTGGTAGTTCGTTTCAAACGTCCTTGCTTTCCGGCATCTTTGCCTTCCTTCAATTCTTGAAAACGTAAAACGTGCGCATACATAACGAATGTTGCCACCTTTAAGTTGTATGGCATTGCAACGCCAAGAAAGA